TTGTAGCCTTGTTTAGTCTTAATATTTAATTCGTCATGCGTTTGATCCGCTGCATGACTGAGATATGAGTATTCTCTATTATTAACATGCTCCTTAAAAACATCACTTCGCGGGTACGTTAGCTGATGACAATTCTGCAGCGAGCCATAACAGCAAGGGCAACTCACGAAAATCGCATTCTTTCGTATGCAACATTGAATTACCAAATCCGTTGATAAACCACAAGCATGTAATGACGTACCAATGTCGAAATCTCCCTTGAAATAATTCAGGTTACACTGACAAAACTTTACATTCGTTAACTTCATTCTTTCCACCCTCTTCTTGGCTCGATTCAAAGATTCCTCTTTATTTTCCAACAGAATAACTGTGCAATGAGGTAGCAAATATGCTATTAATATTCCCAAATGACCAGTACCCGAACAGAAATCTACAATAATATCCCCTGCCTTCGCCAACTTCAAAACGGGTTTGCACAGATTCTGCAATTGATCTTGTTTCCGTCGCAGCCTTGCAGCTGGCAATGACCCGCCTGCTGGTGTAGCTTCAAAAGGGATATCAGACCAGTTTAAATTTATTTCTATACCAAATGGTTCAACATCAAGTTGCATTGAAATATTCATGTCTTCGATCAACTGCAACGAATGTTCTATATCCTCTTGCCTTGTGAAAATGCGGTTTTTTGGTTTGTATCGTTTATAATCGCTCTTATATAAGCTTTCGTTTACTACAACTGGAAGAGTATACTGTATATTTGAATTATGGCTCTGTGAAGGTAAATATTTTGTGCACCTTCGTATGCGAAAATCATCCAACATTCTGTCATACCATTGGACTGTTAAGGGTATCAGCTTTGATATCTGGCTTGGAAACATATTCAGTAGAATATGCATACACACAAAAATAATTAAGTCAGCTAATGTAATGTATCCACTATCCGCATACTTATGTATCGGCATACCTGTCTTATCACATTCAGTTATATCAACAGTATCAAACTTTTTGCTTGCAATATACTTGTATAAATTGTGCACTCTAAGTGGTTGAGACATGTGGTATTCAAATCTGGCTAAATTAACAGGTAATTCAGAGTTCTCTAAAATCTTTGTATCTAAAGACTTCAGAGTTGAAATTAAATCAACCTCGCAAAATTTAGTCCACACACTTGCTTCCGAACAAGCCATTAAGCAGGAATCCTTAAAACCTAATAACATAGTTTTGTCGTTTAGTAAACTTGGATTCATATTTTTTACAATATGTCTTAATACTGTGCACAAACCAGCCATGCAGCTGTCTTCATTCACAATGATAATTGGTAATTCAAACGAGCTTGCATAATAAGGCATTTCATTTACAATCTCATAAACAAAATCTGTGAGATCTATCATGTAAGCTTGTTCAGTTAAATTCTGTTTACTTGGTACTAGCTTAATATTAATTGAAGAGTCACAGTATTTTATAGTAAAAAAAGTTACTAGAGTTTCTACTGGAACAAGACACAAATCTGCCATAGAATATATAGCTAAATATATTTCACTCCCCATTTCTTTCTCTATTTTATTCTCAATTTTATCCTCCATTTCTTTCTCTTTGTCTTTTTCTTGAACAAGTGAAAAATACATAAATATAAAACTTTTCTATCTACTTTTCTCAACTCTCATAGCATTCATGCGCTAATTCGTAATTGTCTTGCTACTTTTCTGATTATTCTCTGTCTTAATATATTCTCTCTCCAATATACAGCTAAGCAAGAGAATATTGCTGCAGCAAACATGAAACCCTCAAACTTCCAGAATGTTTTTTCCTCTAGCCAAGCTACTTTGTCACAACTGTAATACAAATATAAGAACATAGTATAGAATCAAATAGATATACCAAATCCTGGTGATTATGCGTTTCGAAACAAGGCAAAAATTACAAAAGTGAGCAAATTCACTAAGTGTTGATCAATTAATAAATATTTTAATAAATTCACTTATTTTCTAATTTTATTTTTCTAATTTTAATTTTCACCTTATTTCAAGACAATCAATTCTCTGTCAGTATGCTTTACCTTCTTGTTATTGTTTCACCGCTCTTGCATTTCAGCACTTCTTTATATCTTGCATGGACACAAACATCAATGCTTTCACTAGCAATTTCAAAGGCAGTACATGGATGACATTCGGATATCACTTCATACTCCTCGCCAGAGATACAGGAGGAATTATTCTCATAATTATCAACATAAAGTTTACTTGAGCTATTCGTCCAATGGCTCTCGATAATTAGCGCTAAAACTGTTAATCTATAAAGAATATAATTATACAAGAAATTAAGTTTCTCCATAAATGCTTTGTTTAACAAAGCCTGCATCTATGCCTCTGCAGCAGTTTGCTGTTTAGGCTATGTTCGAAATACCACCTGAGTACCTCCGTGTATTTTATCTCTATTATTTAAATGTTGATGATAAAATGATATAATGATAGAATTCATTATTCTGGAGCTACTCCGAATGGTTTCCAAATATACATTTAATTCGAAAAATATGAAAAATACTACCAAAATATGAAAAGAACTAACCCTCCTAAAAATGTGATACCTAACAACATTCGCTTCTTCGTGCAAGATTCGATCATTTCGAATTTCTCTCTATTTTCAATAATCACACTCCACTCTGATTATATTACAGATCCACCACTGTAAGCTCTATAGAGAAAGACTGTGACTTATCTCTTGTAGGTGAGTATCTTGTACTTTTCATCTTTCTTCCTCTTCTTATTAATGTCTAACCATATCAAATTATGTCTAATTCATTCTAATCTAATCGGAATAGAGAGAGAAAAACCCATGATGCATCATGAAAGAAGCTCAAAGAATGCAAAGAAGTCTGAACACATAAAAAGTTTGTTCGCGTCGCATGCTCCAATTTGCTCCAATGTGCTCCTGTTATAGCTTCTATTCACTTCAACGATCGCGTTAGAGTTAGTAAATGCATAGTAGGAACATTTTAGAGTATGTCAGAGCATGCAATGCGAACAAACTTATGAACGTGTACGCGATTATAATGAAAAGCAAGGTATAGCATTTCTGATGATGCCGCACTCGTTCAATTTCTGAACCAATTAGCGACCCATTTTGCAAGCAATAGCATTCATTATTTGTTTTATCTCTCAGGGCTACGTTCCAAAACTTCCTCTTCAAGGAAGATTTTATTCTATGTGCTATAATATACATTACGTGTACTATATATTTCGAGTAAAATTTTTCTCGGAGAGGAAGTTTTGGAACGTAACCCAGGACTTCGGGATCGCTCCGAATGATCCCAGCGCACATATTATATATGCCCTTATACTGTGCCCAGCGTTGAATTCGATTCACACTATTGCTGAATTCACACTGGATCCGACATACGTTGTACAACGTTCTGCAACCAATCAGAAAGCAGAATTTTATTTTATATTAATGGCTTAGTTTCCACCGAGGGTTTCGGAATATAAGAATGTAAGAATCAATCAACTACAGTCGAGTATTCCCTTGTCATATCGTTCGACTGTAACAGGGAAATACTCGACTGTGATTGGTTTTTACATTCTGAATCGTGGATTAAACTCTCGATGGAAACTAGGCCAATGAATAGATTGGCCCCCAAATATTGGGCTAATATTAATGGAAATATTATCGGTTTGCAACTAATGTAGAACCGGCTTAAGACACTAATGCAGCCCTCTGATTGATTCATTACTTATGAAAGTTGCTCAAAAGTTGCTGCATTCAGTGCGGGAGCCACATCAATTCGCTTGCTCGAAAGTAATTTCCATCGCGCGACAAAAGTTGAACTGAATCCAACTTTTGCCGCAGCGGAAGTAATATTACATCATTTTTAGAAGTTTTGCGTGGTGAGGCCGACTTAAGAACATAGAATTATTGGTTTGTGCGATAACTACTGCCGCAAGCATTGTCGCGTTCTGTGCAGGAATCATTATGGTATCGTCGAGCGATGAGTGGAAATTAACAACGGAACGGAACGAACCACGCGACTAAAAGCTCAAACACAATAGGCACAGGCAATAGGCACAGGCGAACAAAGAATAAGGCTTAAACACAATACACAGGCAACAGGGTATAACGAGCCGTCTAATCAGAGCTTGGAGTGTAAGTTCAATATTATATCCTAGAACTCTGATTAGACTCGTTATCGTTCCTGTTGTCTGTGTATCGTGTTTAAGCCTTAACCTCTATAAAATCGAAAAAGATAAAGACAGAGAGAGAGAGAGAGAGAGAGAGAGAGAGAGAGAGAGAGAGAGAAGGAGAATAAAAGATTGCGCCAGTATAGAACGAGTGGAAGCGAATCGCGCGTATCGCGCAGATCACGCATTTTGTGTGTGTGCTCCATAATACCCATAAATATTTCTGCGAGGCAAGCACGATCGTACAAATGTGCGAGTCCTTGATTTTGACACGGTCGTGATAAAAATCAGCACGGTCCCGATAAAGTCCATCGATGATCACTATATATCGTTTATTCCCGGCAGCGGGAGATACAGACGAGAAAAACAAATATAAAAAAAAGGACAGATCGTCGCAAATAAATGAGTGAAGTTAATCGAAGAGCGAAATCGCTCCCCGGTTGCTCTGGAATTTTAGCTATCATCGGTTACAATTAATCTGTCACATCGGTTAGCTTTTCTTTTCTTCGTAAAAGAGATCAATATGATGAATTAAGAAAGAATATATACAATTCTAATGTATCGAATTTTTTATCTTAAGTCTTATTCAAATCTCAAACTCAGCGATTCTCTCACACATGATCATATCAACATCCTCTCACTGATACTCTTTTTATTGCTACTCTTCTCCCTTCTTTTTGCAGAATTCACTCTCTCTGTGTGTGTGTGTGTGTGTGTGTGTGTGTGATGTGTGTGTGTGCGTGCGTGTATTAAGTATACGTCAGTATATGTATGCGTATGTATTGGATTGTGACCATTCAGCAGCCGCCATGATTAGTTTTACGGCGAGCGCGCGTACGACGTGATGCGGGGTGTGATATGTCTGTAGCGCGCGCTCGTATCCACCCTAAACGGCAGCGACGTTCGAGGGCCGAGGGGAGCAGTGGCGACGGTGAGACGTGAGAGTGGAGGGCGACGGGTGGCGACGACGACGACGGCGGTGGTGGTGGCGGCGACGGCGACACAAGGGGGGGAAGTCTTCCGCCCCCTACGCAAGCCAGACGCCGGTAATGAGTGTTTACGCCGCGAGCACGCCGAGTCCTGCGATATCGCCGGCGATTAATACGACGGCAACAACGGCATCGACGGCAACGAAGCCGCCGACGACGTCACCGACAGCAACGACGACTACGACGATAACTACGGAGACTGCGTCAACGTCAACGACGACTGCGACAACGACGACAACGGCGGCGGCGACGGCGGCGGCGGCGGCGGCGGC